GTGTATTAGGTAGTAATAAGAAATAAATGGAAACGCAAGAAGACATCGAGGTGAAAGGACGTTAGGAATGGTGACGGTAAGGAATTGTTGATTGGTTGGTTTTGTGGTAAAAGAAATCATGCAACCATGAGGCAGACAATTGTTAAATTAAATTTAATTTATTCGAGCCAATTACTTGTCAGACCACTATGGCGTTTATTAGTAGGGTCTGTACGGACACAGAATGCAAGAGGCTTCTTCAAGAACCTCGCGAGAATCGCAACTGGTTCGCGTGTATGTATGTCCATATTTTTGTGGTTTTCGATAACTTTTCTTGTGTGATTTGTTTAGAAAAATGATAGAAACTGGTTCGCGTGATCGTAGAAAACAGGTGTCACGTGAGAAGCGATGAAAAGGACTCGCGCGAGCCTCTAAAATTCCGTGTCCTCGTTCGTTACAAATCAAACGTTAATTAATAATTAATAACATTAGATACGTATATCTATTAACAGTATTAAGATTCACCCACACCGTCAGGCACGCATCATACAGCGACAGTGGATGATCAATGAACGAATTGTTGCATCGTCTTCTTTTACAATACCTGCTGTTTGGTTTACCTTTTTATTTTTTATTCAATTATCAATGTAAAAAACTTTGTGATTGATATGGTTTACGCCGATAAAAATAAACGTGTCACTTAATTAACAATGTTTGTGTTCGTCGTTTAACCGACTAAAGCGATTTAATGTTTTCTATGATTGGGCAATGAAAGAACATCTGTTTGCAAAAATATTTGGATAGATGAAATAATTTAGTTTTCTGACATTTTTTCATGGCCGAATTTCCGGATTAACAAATTTGAAAGGTTGATAAAACTGCCAAAAGTCATAAAATCGTAATGTTTTCCAAACATAATCGTTTAATTGAATTCTAAAACATCTGGTATCGACAACTCAATAATTATTACGTAGTACAAAAGTGTAGGTCATTCAGCAATCTAAGCGACACGTTTACATTTTTCATCGCAATTATGCGTATCAGTTTGTAATTTAACGTGCCTGTCACAAACATATCTATACGTATGTACGCTACGTGTAACTTAAAAAAAGAAGCAAAAGAAAACACCATCCACCAATCCACCCATCCGTCGTTACGAAAATTACAAGTGCTCCTTCTATCGTATGATTCCGTAAGTCGTCGATAAACATTTACACTGTTATGTACAGGGTATAATACACTGGGAAAAGAAGAACGGTAAACGGAAAGATCATCGCTACGACAATAATCAAATAATAATAATAAAATAATGCTTACTATTATTATATATTATTACTAATTACTAATAGTGGTAGGTACTTGTTTTACTCTTTTCATTCGATAAAGCAACACGTTTCTCGAAGCAAGACAAATCAAGCTGTTGCTTCACGATTAGCTTCGAATCCTACGTAACTTCCATTCTTTCGCAAAAGGAAAACGAAAATTTGGCTGCCTCCAGAATTGTACATTTTACGCACACGAAAGACGAATGAAGCGGGAAAATAAACTACGAAGCATGTGGAAAGCATGTAACGTGAATCTGTTCTCTTTACAAGCGATTAAAAAATTTATCTTCCTACTCGAATCTGCTTCATTTTTGACAAAATAGATTTAAACTACAAGATCGAAACGAATTCATTACGATTAAGAGGAAAGTTGCTACAGTTCCTTAATCAAATACAGGCTGAATGGTAAACGCAAGGGAAGAATAAAATCTATTTATATGCGCCAATTTCTCTATCCCTTTTAAAACGGTCCAGTTGCAAATACAAAACAGACGACATTGTAAATCCAATTTACAACATTTGCAAATGTGCTCCGCATAATGTAATCGTTGCGCCATTCCAACCGCGCTGATTCTCTTAAAATTACAATAACATTCTAAAATATGGGTTAACGCGTTGAACAACAAATTACTGTGTACGCACAGAATGGTAATAAATAATAAATGATTGAACAATTAATAGATATAAATTGTATACGATCAGAATTTAAAAGCGAATAAAACATTCGTAAATTGTTTAACAGTATGATGACATTCCGAATGGAAATAAAAACTGATCAGTTTCATTCAGGATAAAATTTGGCGTTTTGCCAATTTAATAACTTATGTTTAAAAACGTACCTTGATCGGTGAATAAAAAAAAATATTCTATAAGGTACAAACCCAATCGATTTGTCTGTCAACGCGTTAACGTCTAACATTTCATTGAAACGACACGACAATTTTTATAAATCTTTTTGGCCATCACCGTTTGATGTATTCGCAAAGCTGGAGCAAATAAAGAAAAAGAGATGAACGCAGCTTTTCAAACTAAAAGCGGACGATGCTAGGACACATATGCAGATTACCTAGCATCGCCTCGAAGGTACAGGTCTCTCGCATTCTAACACGGCGCAAATATACACGCCACGTTTTACGCGCTTCGCGTTATTTTCTATTTTATTGTTTGTTATACCTTTCTCTCATACTTTCCCTCACTCACTCACATTCTTTTTGTTCTCTCGTTTTTGTACAAATTGGGGAGTATACGGGGATTTATTAAACAGTAAAGGAGCAAAAGAAGAGCGTAACAGGGGTTGTATGTTACGGGGTAAAATATAACTATTTGGCAGTTCGTCATTCATCGGATATGAGTCAGACTGTTTGATACTTCGAGACCCAGCCGATGACGTCCTTTTATTTTTATGCCTCGTCTTTCACCGTCACCGACCTCAAAGAACGCTTAAAAATGTGACAACGGCAGATATGATCATGTGTTCACGGAGAAAAAATATCTTCACGATTGAGCCTTAAGGCCAAGGAGAATAGATAGAAATTCGACTACTTATTTTGACAAACGCATGCCCAAAAATTATTTAGTTCCAAGTTGTAACATGTAAATATATCCTATTTATACATTATAGTGAAAAGAATTTATAAATTATGAATCTGTACTTATTAAATAGTTTTTATTTAATGAAATACCAAATATCTCTAATATTTAACATGATTCTTCGATTGTTTAGTCGCGTCGAACAATCATTTCAAGGTGGATCGCTACAAATGAATACTTCAACGAGTTCATTCCAAAGATATTTTTTCCCGAACGAATGTGTATGCATGTACATGTATGCAAGAACGTGCACACATGAGTGAATTAATTTGTATACATTATATTTCATCACTGGTCTCTCTCTCTCTCTCTCGCTCGTTCGCTCGCTTGCTTTAGTTAACATTCGATATCTGTTATTGGCACAAAATTGTACTAGTAATATGGAAACACCTGCGGGGCCACGACCGTCGACGCGGTTCCCCGACGCGGCGAAATATTTGCACGCGAGTTAATAATAAGAAATTCATCTCTGTCGCCGAGTTGATCGTCGGCGGAATCGCATCGACGCACAGTAAACTCTATGTATCGCTATTTGTATATCATATTAAATTAACCTACGTTGTAATAGGAATGTGTATGACAAGAACGCCGGAAAGATCTTCCCGGCGAAGAAGCATTCATTCGTAAAAAACAGCGGCTGTGAACCGTATCGACACGCATGAATCGCGTAGTTAAAGCTGGCGTTTTACTAAAAATCGGTAGAAAAATATTTTAACGATGCAACTTGAAAAATTATGCTACATCACCAAAATAATTCGCCCTGATCTTTAATAAAAACCAGACTTTCATTATATCGACTATGTTATATTCTTTTTTTATTTTCCTTCGATCATGTAAAATCGTTAATTACTATAATCGAACATTATTTAGATCGTTCAGTCTTTTGGTGAATTGCAACGTTCGCGGTGTCGCGACGGATAATCGCGTCTCTGGTCGGTAACGTTCGAACGACGTAATTACAATTGTAATAGAGAATCATATCGCAGAGGAATTATTTTTAACATTTCGACATTAGAGATTTACAGCACAACTTTCAGTTGGATCGTATTCGGTGCCAAAGTTTGATCCCTTTCGGTAAGAGAAGTACCATGGTTTATAAAAGGACTGTGACAGCTGGATTTCGAACGGTTTAAAAAGTTCCTTTTCGAAAACGGAAGAGAAAAATCAGTTGAACGTCCCGTCGGTGGAACGCGGTTGGTAAAAAAAAATAATATAAAAATACAATTATGTGTGTCGACCCTTCGTTCCTTTATATAATAATAATCGCAAGTTCGCAGACTTTTTCACGTCGACTATTGGATGACAATGATTCGATAATCCCTTTCTTTTCTTGTCTGGTTCTCTTTTACACAGGATCATTTCTATTGTTCTTGTTACTTCCTCGTATTTGTCTTTTTGTTCTCATCCGATTCCGTTTATGCTCTTTAGTTTTCTCCATATATCTCTGGCTCCATGGGCGAACAAAGTCGTTCGGGTAACTTCGTAACAGAAAGTTTCACGCTTACTTTTATCCCTTTTTTCCTTTTCATTCAACGAACCTTCTTTGAGGCCACCGGGTTAGCTTTGCAGAGAGACATATCATACGCATTCTCGCATGCCAGTTCGTTCTCGCGGTACAACAAAGACGCTCAACTCCGTTTCTTGCGATTAGGCTGCGAATGTTTATGCAAATGTTTTCATAATAGCAACGGAAGAAACGAAACTGTCCGAAAGCTAGATATCTCAAATGCATAAACAATCACAATTAATCTATGATTCCCTTTCGACAACCGTGACGCATGTAGCTAAAAATATTTTCGATCGCGCTTCCTAAAACACGAATTTAAAGAAAATGTATAAAATATCATTCGTACAAGTGTCGAAGCGGTAATCAAAAATATTAAAAACTAGCACGCGTCCGTAATTGAAGCTTGTCAAGCATCGTTCACAGTCACTTCTTTCTCTCTCTTTTATTCTCATTCTCTCTTTCTCTCTCTTTTTCTTTCATCGAAAAAATTCCAGAAAATATAGTTTCTCCAATGTTTTTCTTTGTTTTTCCTTCTTTTATCAATTCGCTTTCGTTTCTATCTTTGTTTCTAGATTTCTCTTTCTCTCTCCTTCTCAATTACGTTCCACAGTCTGCTTCTACCATTCTCTGTCTTGCATACCTCAATTGTCCAGTCTGTCTCCCTTTCACACATAAACGGTACATTCATTCTTGAGCTTAGCACCCTTCAATTTCAGCCTTCCTGTGTTACAAAGGAAATATGCTCCGAAAGTCCCGCGTATAACGACGCACCGCCTACAGTTCGCACGTATCACGATAAATACGCAAAAATATTCGTCTTGAGCAAAACATCTGGGTTCGTCTAATGCTAAGAATACGTGTAATTGTGTAATACGTATAATAGAGATGGCGTTCAAAATCACTAATTGTGATTTATCACAGTGATCGGAAAATCACGGTCACCCCTTGTGATTACATGAAATCACGGCCGTGATCGCGATTTTTCGTATTGTATGGACTCACTATACAATATTCATATTTCCTGTTCATATTTACTGACCCAAAATATAAATTTTGATTTTAAAAAATACGTATTCAATATGATTTTAAACTAATTACATTATTATATTTGTAGCTTTAAACATTAGTAAGAAATAAAGAAATCCATAAACAAATTATTTTTTCTATTTCCATACATACTACATGTATGTATATTATTGTAATTCAGTATTGAATATCATTAATTGTCTCTACTTCTTTATGTAATTCATATTTTTACCTTAATATTTTTGAATCGTTATATCCACATCATAGAAGTTAGTTAATAGTTGTAGAAACTGGTAGAAATTCAACGGCGTCAATCATTCGATTAGTATTATTCGTATATTGGAGACGTCAGATTATTGGGCCTCAAAGCACAAATTCACGCCGTCGTCACAGTCTACTCTCCACCAGTGAGAAGATCACCAAAATCACGATCACCGTGAAAAATCACGGTGATTTGGAATCACTCGTGATCGAAAAGTAGCAGTTTACGCCATCTCTAAATTATATTATTTACGTGTTTGTAGTAATAAGATTTAAAAAAGAAAGAAGACAAAATCGGAAACAGTCATTCGTTGTAAAAACCTTGAGAAAAATTCGAAAGTTAGACTTCCAAAACGAGAGCATATTTTTAAAAAGTATTGCTTGCATCGATGTAAAAAAACGACTGATAAAAAGATTTTATAAGAGCTACCTTCTTTAATAATAGATAAAAAAAGAGGGGGCGAAAACGCGTATACTTGAACTACGTGTGGTCGTTTCCATTCAATAACTATAAATTGTTCGGCTCTTTCTATCTACCCTGTATATAAGTTCAGAATCGACGCAAACATTCGATTCTAAACGATTGTAGAATCGAGAAAACAAGGATATGCATTTCTCTTGTAACACGTTATGTATGGTATATTCTTTCGAAAAAAATTCGATCCAGTCTCTACACGCACCGGTAAAATTACGCCTTGGCCAGACTGCAGCTCGCAATTGCGTTCGCGAATAGCTTGCAATCGGTTCTCTCGCTCGCCGAGAATAAGTCGGTAACGAACATAATTTGTAACTGTTCACGAGCTAATCACGAGTAATTGTGCGCGCGGCATTACACGAACGAATCTTTATAATATGATACGTATTTTTAAAAAAATTTAAAATCAAGTAAAAAGTGCTGAAACGTACAAAAATCTAATTTGACTCGGAGGCCATTCGGTTTGTAAAATTCTCTCCAAAGAAACTTCGTATAGCGAAGAAAGTCCGTTTGCGAGAAACCCTCGTCGTCGATCGATCGATTAATAAATTATACAATTATTGATTGATTATTTAATCGTCCCTACGAAACAATAACTTGTTAAAAGACAGCCGGTAAACGTGTTAGTTCGGTCAATCGAATCGCATCGCCTGATTACAAATATAATTATATGTGTGTATATATTAATGTACAAATTTATTAATATTTATTAATATTACTCAATAAACGTCGCTATATATAATAAATTTATATATTCCATTATCTTTTCTTTATTATTACTATCAATAAATATACAGCAGTGTGTGACGCGTGACCAGGCTTAATATTGCGTTCGATTAATCGAATAGATTGGGCGTATTTAATTAATTCCTTCTCGGACAACGATCGATCGACCGATTGATTATGATGACAAAACCCATTTAATTTTTCCGTTCGGATGTTCATCGCCGACCCTGTCCGTGTTTCCGACAGTCACTGCTCGTTAATGAGTGTTCTCCCTTTTCTTTCATTTTTGCCGAAAACAGATTCCCTTCACTTACCTACATAACTCCGACTTCTTGATTACGTAGAATAATTCCATTACTTCATACGTACGGGCTGATATACTTGAAATTAGAGTCTACGACTCGACCAAGTCAATGCAATTAAAGGAACGTCGTCTCGATTATTATTATTTTTTAAACCAGTCTTTCGTTAGGCTCTCTGCTTCAACTATTAGAATTTTTCATATCGATCAAGTGTCTTACATCTCTCCCTGACTCTCTCCCTCTCTCGCGCTCGCTCTTTCTCTCAGGTTCGCACTCTCTCCCTCCCTTTCTCTCCTGCTTCCTACCATACAATTTCGCACTTTTTGTCTCGCGCGTAATAACACGGCACTTAAAAAGTTTTATTGCAATAAAAGAGTTACGATTAAAGTGAGTGTTCACGTGTGTTTCGAGCACTTCTTTCATTTTCATACCGATCGCTCGAACGATCGCTTGAAGACTTGCCTCTTTTCACTTCAAGTCCTCTATCGCGCCATAGTTCGCGAGAGATTTTTTAATCCTAAGCGCGGTTAGTCTAGCTGCCGCATTGTGATACCAACACTCTTTCATCACCTTCGACATCACTTGTAACGCCTGAAAAAAAAGAAACAATAAGCGTGATTACCAATTGTATATTTCATTGAATAATGATTTAAGTGTTCATTGATAAGATATCTACATACTGTATGATAATTATATGAGCACAACAAACTGAATTGAGTTGAAGTTAAATCAAAATTTTGAATAAAAAAATTTGTGAATTGTTCTATGAAACGAGCAGTCTTGAGAACAAAAGTAAATATTAATAGCCGCAGATAGCTACCTCGATCGACTGCCAACGATTCGGTATCGACGGCCTCTGTCTGTCGGTGCACACAACTTTACGCATTTCTTCGATCGTCGGATCGGAAGGCACCAAATCGTAAAACGGTAGCTGATATTCGTCGTGAATCCCGCCGACGTTGCACCGCCTGGCAATCTCCCAGAGGATCAACCCGAGAGCGTATACGTCAGCCCTCTTGAAGGAATCAAAGTGGTTCATGTTTATCGTCTCTTCGAGAACCTGAAAGCAGAAGCAACAATCCTCAGAAGTCATACCCTCGACGCGGGGAGTTTCTCCGGAGCAAAATCCTCGAAAAACAACGCCGCGACGATGTCAATAAAAGAGAGACCGACAGTTAAACTTAAGGTTTTTACCAAGTGAAGATTCTTAACGCGTTTTGTTGTACAGTATAAACGCAATTGAATAAATTATTGTAACAAGTTACAGAAAAACATGTTTCAAACCAAACTAGTTCTAATCATCGTGATAACATTGAAGTAAATTGAAAATTTGTTTCAAAATTACCTCGGGCGCCATGTACCGTTTGGTACCGACCCGATTGTTCAACTGAATATCAACGGTGTCCGTTATCACATCATGCCTAACGGCTAATCCGAGATCACCGATCGCACATGTCCCATTCGTCTTCACGAGGATATTCTTCGACTTTAGATCCCTGTGAGCGATAGCCGGTTTCCCTTGCGTGCCTACAATATCCATGTGAAGATGCGCGAGCCCGGTGGCAATCGACAATGCCATCCTGATCATACCGTTCGTGTCCACGGTCGATCTGTTCAGATAATCGAACAGCGAACCCTTCTCGTGATAATCCGTGATCAGCCACAGTTGGGTCCACGTGCCATTGTCTGAAAAGAAAACACGCGAATTATATACTCAGCTACCTCAAACACGTAAATTGTAATAATCGTATACTCTTTTATCTATCATTCGCGTATCTTCGTAACTTTTATTGCGCATAATAAATGTTAAGCGCAACTGATTATTTCATTGCAAAAGATGTAGTGAAATGTAGCAAGTAATCGAAAAAGTATAATTACATAAGTATTATCTTATATGCCTCGTGTAATGTTTACAAAAATAAAAGATAACTCATGATCAATTAACTTATTATCGTTCCTGATTTATAGAATGATAAAACATGAAGTTCATGATCCTATTTCAGCATTTCACTTCGTATTAAACTGATCTGCTTGAGTTTTCAATTCTCTTCGAAAACATGTAACGAACCAGAATATTAGCCACCTTAATATTTATGGATTACAATAATTCATTTTATTCTTAACAGCTGCGATTGATTCTATAAATGTTATGTGTCCAATCTTAATTTCACATCAAAGTAATATTGCAAGAAAATCTGATCACATTACGAGTCATTCGTTTCAATCTTTTTGGAAGACTCCTTTGTCAGATTGCTCGAATATCGATTCAAAAGTGCAAAATACATTCACGCACACCCTCGTATGTACCTTTGTTATCGGCAGCGATGAATCCAAGGATATTGTCGTGTCTGAGCATCACCGTCTGATAAATTTCGGCCTCCCTGAACCAGGACCTCTCCTCGCGCGAGCTGAAGATCTTCACGGCAACATTCTCACCCCGCCAACGGCCACGCCAGACTTCGCCGAAACGACCTTTACCGACCGTCTCCACTAGCTGAATCTGGCGTGCTATACTCCGCTGTACCAGAAGCGGCAGGCCTACTTGGGAGAGGATGGGCATTGAAGAACACGAATTTCAGTATGATTGTAGATAACTCTTGTCATTAATAATATATCCATAAGCAAAAATTATTATTATTTAAATACAGAACAGCTTCCATTACATAAGTCAATTTGGGATAGGATAAGAGATAAGATTTTTGACGACAATTAGTAATGGTAGTGACAGAAGAAGTGGGTTCGCGTTGGAAAAATTTAATTTGACCTACCTGAGCCGCTGCCACTAGTCGTCATTTCCAGCATATCCCTAATGGTAACGCCGCCCAGGATGGGCCGATCCGGTGCCTCCTGAGAGTCATCGGAATCCCCGGGTCTTCTTCTGGTCATCCGTACGTGATAAATGACCATAACCACCACGCAGATTGCGCATATTGGCATCGCTATCGTCAAGGCCATTTTCCAAGTGACCCACATTGGGTCATCGCCTGGCGGCACTTTAGCCGGCACAAATCCACGATTAGTGTTTTGATCGTGAAACGACGTGAAACCACCCAAAGAAACGAGAAACATTCGACTTTACAAGCATCTTCTACGCTTCTCTACTCCTTTTATAATCATGCAATAAAAGAAGATTTCAGCGTGTGATAGATGATAATAGCAGAAAATGCCATCTTTCATAGCTTGCGCATGGCTTAAGTATACAGTTAATCGAATGAAACAAGTTTCAGTCAATTGATCGAATGTAACAAGTTTCTCCAAGTGATTGAGTAAGCCACTCGAAAACCCGTGTGGAAATGAAAATCGGAGAGCAGCGGATGCGCCAAGCTGACGAAACAGAGATGCAGCAACAGCAAAAACATGTTCGGAAATCGTGCTGAATAACAAGCATACCGAAAAAAATGTGCACCAGTGAACAGCAACTGTTTAAAGTGAACAGGCACATGCGAGATTAGTACGCCAGGTCGGGAATGTGATATATTCAGTTCGAATTTTTCTCTTCGAACCAGTCCAACGATCAGTACCCGATCCAGAATGAACTTGGACGACGATTTTCATAAAGACAAAGAAAGGAAACGAGAGAGATCATCGTGAATAAAAGCGTCGAGGGTGTCAATGTACAAAACGATGATTCCACTTCTTGCATCGTATCGATCGGCCAAATGTGAGCCGATCTTCGGAATTACCTGTCCAGTGGATGTATGCACAATAATGATACGAACTGTGCACGAGTCATCATCGTCTGGATACAACGTTGCTCTCGCGATTTGTAGACACCTGCGTTACACCATTCGCAGCTTCACTTACCTGATACTTGATTTGACAACGATGTACATACGCGGTGAGCATGAATTCCTTCACGCGGATGCTGTTAATTGATTATTCTTCGGAAACTCATACGGGGAACATTAGAACAGTGCACACAGTTAAATTTGAAACAAGTATTTCATTTTTCTCTAATTATAAACCAAAGTTGTATTTCGTTAAATAATCGATACAATCTAACACAAAGCGCTGTTATTTTGAATAGAATTTTATACAATATTAAAACAATCGGTCTTTTCAACAACTTTCAAATGAAATATTATTTCTGGAGTTTTGAACAGAATTCGAAAGCATTAAATAACTTGCCTATCGTGTATTAAAGCGAGTAATCATTTTCAAATCGAATTTCAAAGCGAGTAATCGTTCCCTCCTATTGAACTTCGAAACGAAACAATCACCTTCTCATTGAACTACGAAGCGAGTAATCGCTTTCGAGTAATTATTTTTTAATAAAACTTGTAAAACAACCGATTTATCCGCGAATCGCGATGCGCGATCCGTATCGTCGTCATTCCCAATTTTTGAAGAGGGTAGAAATAAATTGGAAATACCGTCGGAATGGTCAAATTGCGGGACTTCGCCGTGCGGTGCCGCGGCGAGGGTAGACAAATATTCGTGGAATCGAATCGATCACGAGGCTCGCGTCCGCGCAAGTATCATCCATCTAGCAATTTCACGATAAGGCAGCAAATTGATTCCCAGGAGGTAGATGATGAGATGACAAATAACAGTGGGTCAAACGAGTCACAGATGAATGATTGCGCGGGTCCAGGGGGGATGCCCGATGAAGATTGTCAAGAGAACCCGGGGATACGTACTAAACTTGCTGGCTGCGATGTTGGCGCATGATCTCGTGTTCTGATGGCACACGTCATGCAATTTTCGGACCTTGAAAGAAGTTCGCGTAGCATGTTCGAATGTTTAACGGATGATGCAAGTGTGATAACGAATTTAGTGACTTTCCAAGATCTTGTGAAGAAAAAAAATCGTTTTTTATACCAACATAGCTAGTAAAACACTTTTCTTATCATGTTTCTTGTCTATGTTTTATCATTTAGCACTGCACCGCAAGTCCGTAGTCCAAAATGCATACAATTATAAACATAACGGAATATTTATCTAAATGCGACCGAAGATGTAGTCGACATTCGTAACAATTTTTTGCCAACTTATACGTTTATCGTTCAAATTAATTGGTAATAATTATTATAATATAAACAAGTAAAATCTTTTAGTTTACATTAAAAAAGCATAATATAAAATACAAAAGAACTAAACAATAACAGTAGCAATATTAATCAGAGGGCGAATACAAAAGTTGAATTACATGCCTAAAGCTTGAATGACAACCAAAGAACTTAATACGAGCAGAATATTTATTACCGTTAGAGAAAACACGGTTAAAAATTTATTAACGTTAAAAAGAGAAAGGTAGAATATGTACAAAGCTTCGTTTTGTATACGATAATATTGGAAGAAATGTCTCATTATATTAACATTATGAACAGGTGTATCGAAATAAATCGGTGCAGTGAAAACGCACGTCAATAACTAGCTGTCTCTCCCCCGGATTTAGTGGAGCCCGTATAATCGATGGATACTGGTTTCGATACGTTCCATCATCCCTTCGTCAATAGCGTGCGAATACGCCTCGTTTCTCTATGCTCCATACAACGCATCACGCTGTCGTCCATTTCACTCAAGCTGCCATGTCGCATCAGCACCACACCGTTCCGTTTCGCATCCTCTTTCGTTACATTCTCTAATCGGTTTTCATGCGACTACTTTTAATAATGCTTACGCGTATGTATCGAACGACTATCAATGACCGAGCATCGACGAGCTCTTTATCCGATTTATGACGGCCAGTATGAATTAATTAATTTATTTATAACCATTTTCAAATTTTAACTGTATGTCAATGATGTTATTTTTGTTATTTATTGTTGATTACAATAACAGGAAGCCCAGCGTCGTGATAAGCAAGATATTCCTCTTCAAAGTTTAACTTTTTAACGTTATTCCTATACTGACCCCCTTACAAAACATTTTTAGCTATAGCACAACAATTGCTTTTACAATATTAACAAAGAATTAATATGTCATTTAAAAGGTTCACAAGAATCTTACATTAAAAAATTTATATGGTCTGCATCATCGTTTACAAGAGCATTGCAAGAATTGTACATTTATAGAATTTA